ATGGTAAGTTTTTACAAATAATTTTATTTATGACATAAAGATTATTATTATTTTAATGCAGTTAACGATTGATCTCAAAAAATTGAAATAAGAGATCGAATGGTTAAGTTTCATGTTGACAAGGGAAAAAACTGATAAGTGTTGATGAATATATCAAAATCATTGACATTAAATTTGTATTTACTAGACATTTGAATTTAATAAAAGAATCAATAAAATTTGTTGCTAGAAATTATAATTATATAATATTTTATCGGATAAGTTTCACATTGAAAAGTAGACTGCTCTCAATCATGATTGATTAAATATTATCATATGTCAATGATCATCAGCATAGAATGGAACGAAACTTTTTCTATAATAACAATTTTTCCAATAATTTAGATATGATTGGAAGTTTGTCTAGAACTTTAATTGTTCTTTGAACACTCGTTTGTTATGCTGTAAAATGAGAAAATCAAACTAATAGATTTGTCATTTGTGGTCATTCACAGATAGAATATAGATCATACACTATGTGTAAAATAATGATGCCTATGACTTAATCTTGTAGATTATCAAAAAAACATTTCTTTCTTTTTCTAGGATAAATTATTTAATCTAAAATGTTTCTCATTAAAATCGTTCTTTCGATTTAAACAAGATGATAAAATTCTATCACTTCTTCGTCGTATGTCAAATCTGGAAAAATTAACTTTATACCTTCCTATAGAAGGTCGAAATAGAGTTATTGATGGTACTTATGTTCAACATGATATTTTGGATCATATGCCACAACTTCATTCATTCACTTTCTATATTTGTACTTATGTGGAAACGGTTGATTTATCCTACAAGTTATCTAGTGAAGATATTCAACAAACATTAACAAATATTGGACAACAACATGCCATTAGTATGGTCAATTATATCCATAGTCACAGAGCCCCATGCTCAATTTTTTCGCTTCCTTTTGAATTTGATTATCTCAAACATCTTGGCAATAAATTTCCAAATATTGTATTCAGTTATGTTACGTTTTTACTTGTAGAAGATACTAATCCATTCAAACATGAATTCTTCATTCGAATTAGCCGATCGTTTCCATTACTGAAGTATTTACGTATTATTAATATAAAATCACAAGTATTAGATGGTTTTATGACATTTTCATCTGACAATTGTCAATTACACTCAATTATTGAATACCCCCATCTGACCAGACTCGATGTGAAATATGCACATAGAGATTATGTTGAACAATTTCTAAATGAAACAAAGGCATTCATACCTTATCTGACGGAATTTGAAGTCTCTGTTGATCATTTAATAGCTGTAACAAAAGACTTCACAAGAAAAGAAACACGACGCAATTGTGCTAAGGTGAAACGAATAGATACGCTAGGATCATTGATATATTCGAAAGATGTTTTTCTTTATTTTCCTTCGTTGTATTAGTAGATGTATTCTCGTTTTGATTTATTCAATAAACTGAAAAACATGATAAATATTCTATTTATAGGCTAATGATATTTCTCAAATATAAACAAATATCAACTATTAATGATCGATTCTCATTTTATAAAAAAAAATCACACAATATTTTGTGATGCTGCAGAGTTATAGGTGAAATGGAAATGCTCCTTCCGCAATTGTTTGAAGACATAGAAAAAGATTTGATTTCATTTTAAATGTAAAAATAATCCTTACTTTTTCAATCTAACTCAAATTAAAGAATAAATGAACATTAATTTCTGATTGCGTTCGATCTAAAGTTCAAAACAATTTCAATAATTGGATTTGATGTATGCGTGATATGAAGTTGTTATCGGTCTCAGTTAACATAAACTACCTTTCTTGGAATCAGACTCATCTTATGGTTTTGAACGAAATGAAATTACTTCAAAGTATACTAGCAGAAAAAATAACATCTTTAACTTGCTGCGCGTTTTTAATATACTATCAGATCAACGAATGTCAAAATATTTCATCTTTCTATTAATTATCTTATGTCATTGATATATTCTATCTAAGAGAATTCATTCAAATGTAATAGAACATATAGGATGTCCAGAAAGTCACTAGAGTTAGAAAAAATTGCATATCTCTCTGCTACGGCTCGAGCAAACAGGCTGATTTTTCTACCAATAATAGAAGCACGTTCACACTTTGAATCCATACAGACAAGGTTAGAGAGAGCCTTTGTTAAGTACCACCAACGACGTCAACAAAAAAAATTTTACTTTTTCACAGATAGGAAAAAAACACTATACAGAGTGGCGCAAAAGTCACTTTGTCGCAAAAAAATTGAATATCTTCACTATGGCTCGAGCAAAAGAGCTGATTCTTTTATCAATTCAAGAGGCATGTTCAAGCTTTATATTCATAAAGACATGCCTAGAGAGATTCTTTGTTAAGTCTATTGTTTTTTTTCTTATCTGTGAAAAAGTAAAATTTTTTTTGTTGAGGTCGTTGGTAGTACTTAACAAAGGCTCTTTCTAACCTTGTCTGTATGGATTTAAAGTGTGAATATGCTTCTATTATTGGTAGAAAAATCAGCCTGTTTGCTCGAGCCGTAGCAGAGAAATATGCAATTTTTTCTAACTCTAGTGACTTTCTGGACACCCTATATAATTATTACAAGCTTTCATTACACTTTTCCTATCGAGATATTTTCAATTTAGACTTGAACAAATCTCTAGATTTCGACCAAACTAACCACACTCTGTGCTTCTAACATTTTTATAATATTCACTTTTTCAGTTTAACTAAATAAAAACAATGATAAGGTTATATTGAATGAAATCTTTGATAATTTGTGAGTAGACTTCTGATGTCTAATTCATATATTTTATTTTATTCTAAATGTAATATTGTGTGTTATAAGAACCACGATACATGAGAAATTTTTTGTTTGACAAGAGAATAAGACGATGATCGATGCATCATCACTAAGAAATTGTAGCAGAAATTATTAGACAAAAAGAAAAATACCTTCATATATTCGGTGGACAAACAGATTGAACTAATTCAATATGAATTAAGAAACATAATTGACACTTTTCTACCTAACAATGTCAATTTCTTTGGTGAGTTCACTTTAAATTAGTGTTGTCTGTTTATTACTTTGATCATAGAACAATATGATGGCATGGATATTTATTCGTCATTGTTTTGGTAGACACGGCAATGAGAAAATACATATAGATTGACATGAATATATTGTATGAATTAGACATGAACAATTTAAATAACAATTATCTCAATA